GAGGCTTTGCAAAATGGAGGCAGAAGAGCCCTGGCACCAAAACTTATGTAAACATATGTAGAACACATGTATTCTAGTTTGACAGTTCAGGACTACCTGAACATTATTTTGTACGATGTATTATTTTTCTCCACTTAAAGATTCCTGTATACACTCTAAAACTTATTCATAATGATATATATAAGATATAAACAGTACAATTATTAATATAGGTGGCACCACTTTTCACAAGAACTGCTTCTTCATATATGGCAAAGCAAGAAGATTTAGGATTGATTGCCACTACAGAAAACCTGTTCCATATTCCAGCTCTGACTTTTACATAAAGCTGAATCCATTGCCCAAACTGTAGTATTGATTATTTTTAGTTCTTATTGTTCATTGTGCTTTTATGGTTTGATTGTGATGTAAACATACAGAAAGCTTAGTACAGAATGGATAAAATTTAGATAATTAATAAATAAAATAAAATTGTGCCTTAAAGAATGAGTCAATCTGGAACTTGTAAGATTCAGTAAGAGAATTCCATTTATCCATTCGAGAGTCCTAAAACTCCATACAGTCTCCAAACCAAAACAGATCATCAGATCCTAATGTCTCCCTTGGTGCTATAAACAAACCTTTCAAGTGGATGTGAATGGACAATATTTATTTATCGGATTTCTAAACCACACAGCAGCCCATGTTCTCCATCATTTAATCCCATTGACTAAACTGTAAAATTTACAGTAATATGTAAAAAAGTAAAAATAAAAGCCCTCTTTAACTTTAAACCCTCAATTAAAGCAATGACAAAATGCTTTAATTTGTTGAATGCAACTTTCTCCCACTGAGTCATTATTCCTTATCCCTTTTCAAGCAATGACTGATTGTAATTATTTATGCCCTTTCTTAGTTTTGTACATGCATGCATACATACATGGGGCATAATGTTCTTATTATCAGCCAGCTGAGATTTCTTGACTTGGCGCATTCACTTCCTTCATGATTACCTTCCAAAATAAGCCCAATTCTCTTTTAAGAAAGAAGTGCAGGAGGTGACTAGCCTATGCTGTACCGTTATTTCAGAGAAATGCAATAAGGAAGGATAAAAGACCTGACCAGTTTTTGGAATTTATCTCTGTCTTTTCCCAATCAATGGAAATGGCTGATCATTGATGCATTTTGTTCATCAATGAAAAGGTAACTGAAATAGTTACAATTTTTGAACAGGGGAGGTAAGGGGAGCTGGCAGGGAAGGTCTGCGTGAAATTTAAGTAACTTTTAGTGATGTTCTCCACACTGTTATTTCTAGACCAGATTAGTCTTTTCTACTTCAATCAGAGAGACTGAGAAAGAGAGAATTCAGTATTCTAAGTGGCTCCATAAATGCCACAACCTAAACATTACAGGCAGATACTTGCCCAACCTCCTTTTAAGCAATGTCACTGATTGGTTGTGAACCACCTGTGTTTCCGTGTTCTGTGTTTCAGAAGATGCTGGTGACAGAAGTGTCAGAGAGTGTTTATGCATAGTTACATTTTACAAAAACTTATATGAGTATAGCAACAACTCCAAAATGAGTGGGACTTACTTCATCCACTGTACTAAAACTATTGCATTATAAAACTATGCATAGCACAAAAGTTCAAAGATTCATTAAAATTAAACACTACAAGATTTTAAGATCCATTCTCAGTTCTCTACATCTTTATTGATAAAATAGGTTAACTTTCTTCTGCTCTGAACACAAGTTTTGCACATATAGTATAAGAGCAACGCAAGTACTGCAAATCAGCTTTTTCAGAGTTTCTGGCTAAATGTTAGCATGTCTACAAGAACTTTAATGATCTAGACAGCTTTCAGGCATTACCAGAAATGGAAAGGGGAAAAAAACTCCAAAGCCTGTAAAACATCTTTTTGAATATAATAGATATGATGCAGAATGAAATATGTTAATCTTTGACAAAGCTTAAGAATGTGATTCCTGGGCCTTCTTATCTAATTGGGACACTGATCAGCACTTAGACTTGTCATTTTTTTTTTTTCCTTTTCTGTCATTTTGAGCACCCAGTTGCTGAAGCTCAAACACTGTGATGACTCAGAAAGAAAGACATGATCCTTTCACCAGCCTTATCAACATGATGCTTCCCAAAGAAATAAGCTTCAATCATGCTTCATAAAATCCACAGCAACTATATTGCCAACATAAAACCTGAACCTTGGGGGTTTGTATATTGAAAGCAAATGACCCCAGTGATTACTGCCTTTTTTATTATGTTTCCCATATGCTCCCACTTCTTTCAGATATTGTGAGATAGAGAATGAAAGAGAGAAGGGATTTAGATGAGTATACATAGCAATATTTCTCCCAAATCTAATAAAATTTCCAAATAATTCCTAAGAAAATTGTTGTCTCCCAGTGCTCCTCAGGGATTTTTTCACCCTGAGATACTAACATTTCATATTAAAGAACAACAGATATTTCCTTCCTATTTGTCTTTCTTATGCAATAGAATTATTGAATCTACAACAATTTTTGCTGCCCATATGCTTTTTAACTGTACAACTGTTCAGGAACTTATCTAGCTACAGCTTGTCACTGTCACTAAGCCCCTTGAATATGATACAATAGAAAGGCGATTTGTGCCTGTAGATATGGGTGAGATGGATTTCTCTGAACAGAGATGTATGCTCATACTGATTTAAGAGCGCTGCATGATGCAGTGGATAACAATACTGTGTTTGTTTGGACTTAGACCGTTAATGCTCAAATCCCTATTCAATGAAGATATTCATTTACCTTGGATAAATATCTGCTTTACATGATGGCTATGTGGATAAAGAATGCAAGAACAGTATAATGCACATGGCATACTAAAAAGAGACAGACAAACATACAACTTATCTTGGCAGTTCTTCTTTGCAAATGTCACCATCATGGAACACAATCTGACCCAAGGATCTTGTTCTATGTAGGAGACCACCTGAGAACTGCTTTGGACTATTCAGAAGAACAGCAAGCAATATGTATGATGATGATGATGATGATGATAAATAATAATTTTCTATTCATACTGATATGTATGGATAAGATACGTAATCTTCCTTGACCACCCAAAGAACAATAGCAATGACAATGTGCAAACTTGTATGCTCTTATATCTTAATCCTTAGCAACAACCCACCACCAAAAATGTCTTACTAAGCAGATGTGAAGACTAAAAGCTATTCTCCTCTAATGTCCTTGCCTTAATTCTATCTGTTGCTCTATTAAAAATCATTAGGGTTTTACTGAATGACTAATTGCAGTTGCTCCAGAGCCCACCCAGAAACAACAAAAACACACCAATGCATGTCTGCAGAAGACAATAGCATCCAGTGACTTACATTCCAAGGACTTAGAAGAAATAGGAGAATTCTGTGCAAAACAGCCCCTCTTATAGTTGACTTGAAAGTGTGCAACAGTTTGCATACAGGCATTTAATGAACCAGTTATGTTCCTGCAGCTCTTAATTTCTAGTATCTATGATAAAGCCGAAGAGAAAAAGGAGAATGGTGTCTTCATTCTTATTTGCATACCACTGCATGGACTCAACATGGGTGGAGGTGGGTTGGTAGGGACAGAAATGAAAAGAGAGAACTGAAGAAATCACATCCAAAATGTCAGGCTGTGCTTGAAGGATGACAGAAGACCGAGTCTCTTTCCGTCTAAAGCCTATTCTCAACTTAGAACAAAATTAACAAACTTAGCAATTTCAGTGGACTTCTATCACCCCCTGCTGGACAAAATAACTCGGTGAAAAGAGCAACCTAGAAAATGCATTCAGTTCCAGAACCAACACTAGCTGATGGATCCCCCCACACCATTCTTTAAAAATATATTTTATACACAGAGCAGATGTCATGTTCTTCTCCTCTGCACATCCTGTTACCCTGTTTTTGAAACATCTAACTTCAATATAGTAAGCTCTAATAAAAACTGCCAGTCCTTCCTTTGGGAGCACAAAGCAAGCTCCTCTAAGCAATTAAGCTCAGTATTTAACTCATGCCAAAAACTTGTCTGAACAGTTTGAAATGCTACAATTAATTTGCACAAAGACGTTCTGTTGGTGTGTCGCATTCACATAGTTCAGCAATCCCTCCCCTTGGCCAAAAGTAGAGGAATCCTGAAGTAACCTAGGAGTAAGTAGTACATAGTCCAGGCACACTTCCATCTCTGTGTTAAAAGAAGCACTACTTGCACAGACATTTATATACACATATACATGCTTTTTGTGTAGACACACACATTGGGGTATACAGGTGTAGCTTACATCTTCAGCTGTTCTCACTACATGGTTATCATTTGTTTGAAGACTATATGCATGCTATGCATCGCCTTGCATCAAAACTGCTGTGTGCCTAGAGATATACAGATGTGTCATACCCAACACAGCACCCAATATCTGCTGACAGTGAATTCAGAGAAAAATCGAAGAAAGCTCTCCTTATTGAATCAGAGAGGGAGAAAAAAAAAGCATTGTTTTTGGACAGGAGGACTCCAGAATTTCTCGTTGTCAGGAACTGTCTTCACCCTTTTTAATTGATTTTTTTTAAAATCAAGTTTAGCTAAGATATCAGAAAGGCATTTGCATTCACTGCCATTCCGTTTACTGCATTAGAGCAAATCTGCTGTTAAAAAAAAATAAAAAACCAAAAAACAAGGGCAATCATTGTTCTGATTAAGAAGGTAGAAAAAGATAAGCTCCCAAGGAAACTGCAGTTAACATCTTTCTTTCTTTCTTTCTCTTCTTCGTCCTTCCCCCGCCCTACTTTAAAAAAACAAGACAGTGTTCCCCTGAGATATAGATTTAGAGGGAGACCAATGCAAAGGTAATAAAAATGTCAAATATGCATTTGCTGGGGATTTTTTGGTTTGTTTTATAACGACGATGAAGAAGATCTGGAGAAGATCTGAAGGGTAAAGGAAAGAGGGAAAGGGAAAGAAAAGGAAAGAGGAGGAGGAGAAAACCTCCTACCTTGCCCGCTACCGAGAAACAATCCGAGCAGGTAGAGAGTTTGGAGGCTCATTTTCAGGAGCTCGCGCTGGTGGACAGTTCCCAAGTTCGAGGCGCTGCGCAGCACAGGAAAAGCTCGCTCTGGCTCTTTGCTTGCCGCCGCCGCTCTCCTGCGTCTCCTCTTGGCTGTGAAGTCTCACCCTTCAGTCAAACAAACACACACATACGCACACAGCAAGAGAGAAAACTCCAGCACCAAAGCCCGAGCAGCGCCGCTCACCAAGTGACTACAAGCGCCGCTTAGCGCTTGGCTATATCAAGGAGGCGGCGGCAGCGGCGGCAGAGGAGGAGCCGCTATACATATGAAGCGATGGGTAGTATCCCTCCGCGAGCATGCATACACGGTCTGGCAGGAGCCGGTCCAGCTGGTAGAGCGGAGAGAGCGAAGGGGAGCGGGGGCGTGAAGCACTGGGAAATTCTTCCGCCTCTTCGCTCTCCGAGGATGCTGCTGGCCGGCCTCGGAGGATGCTCCGCGCCTCGCGCCCAGCGTGATGCCACCCAAGGGCGCTTCTTGCTTGGAACAGGGTCTCTCGCGCGCTCTGTGTCCGTGTGTCCGCGTGAGCGAGGGTTAAAGGCTCTCCCGTGGGAAAGGAAAGGCGGCGGCTGCTTTCTGCGTGGATGTGCGGGAGAAGCCTCTGTTCATGAGAAGGGAGCAAAATGCAAGCGCTGCGGGAAGGAAGCGGGGTCGGGGGGGGGGTTGCAGGTTCGGAGAGCCGAAGCATAAACGCACATAGAGATTGCGAAGGGCGGCGGGGCGGGGGACGCGCTTACATGCATATGAAGTGCGACAGGTTGTAGTGAGGGAGGTGGTTGTCGAAGGCTCTCATGCATATGCTACTGCTGAGAGAGGGACCGGCCATTCATATCTGCCTACAGACGCTTCCAAAGGTGTGTGTGGCGGGGACGGGGGCGAGATGCGAGGGTGCTGGTGCTTTCCGACGCTGAATGTTGAACGCCAAGCCTGGGAGTGGCTGCACAGATACGGCTTTGCCGAGGAAGTGGAGTGGGTGAATGGATATTGAAATGGATAGGAGGAAACGAGAGAGCTGCGGGAGGTGATGATGGGGAGGGATAGGGAGGAAGGAGGCATCTGTAATGCCATCTGAGACCAACGTGCGTGGAAAATGACTGACAAGATGATAATAGGTCCAAAGAGAAAGGCAGAGTTAAAGTGAAATTCTAATTGGGAAAATTGTGCATAGGACTGAAAGAGAGAACAGGGAAAAGAAAGCAATTCCAGCCAGGAGGAACAATCTTTTTCACTTGTAATCAGCATCATTATTAGACATGAAAGAGATGGGCCTACGGAAAGTGGAAATAATGCTCAAGAGTGGGCGACACATCACAAATAAAGGACCTTCCAGTTTGGCAATGGAGGCTTACCTAAGGAATTAGGCTTCTGTTTGGGCAGGGTAACCAATGTGAATGCAGATCAGTATCTCCATATTCATTATTTAATGTATGACCCACCTTTCCTCCAGGATATATTATTCTTTGACATTAGCCCTCTTTCATATCACAATAAACTCTGTGTGTTATGTTAGACTAAAAGACAATGAATGGTCCATGGTCACCCTTTGAGCCTCACCAGCTGAGCGAGAAATAAACCTCAGTTCTAGTCCAACTCTCTAATCAGCCCACTGCTCTGTTTGTCAATGTTCACCCGCATCACAGTTCATGCTCCACTGAAGTGATGGCACGCCCCACTGATATAGGTGAGGATATGTATCCCCATGCAGTATAACTGCTTAGAATGGTACAGCTGAAGGGATTCTGTGGACAATCTGTTCTGATGTCCCTGCTCCACGCAGGAAATCCAGAAGTAGAGCATTCCCAGCCTCTGCTTGAAGACATCCATTGAGAAAGAGTTCACCTGTACCCAGATAATTAGTATTCACATGGTTAAGAAGTTTCTCCTAATGTTTAACCAAGTGTTCTAGATCTAGCTGTCTTCTCTCTTTTTGCAGTTTTATTTGTAACCGCCTTTAAGATAGTTGAAGATTGCTATTATCTCTCCCCACCACCCCACACACATACACATCAGTCTTCCCTTTCCAAGGCTATATATACACACAGTTCCTTGAACCTTTCATCATAAATGTACATAATTAGGACTGGAATGAGTCAAAATCGGTGGGTCAGCTTTTGGAACCTGACATGCCTTTTTGTTCAAATCTAGAAGAAAATAAATTAGCAACCTGTTGTTGAGTACAGGCCTCATTAAAAACCATCTGACAATGTTCAGAATTTTGGGGCAGGAAGTATACCCCCCAAAGAGTTCCTTCTCATTAGCACTAGCTTGAAATCTGTCATTTTGTACACACATTATACACAGATCCCAATTACTGCATGACTGTCTATTTTAAAAATGATTCATACAAAATTAAATTAAGTGGGGGTCTTATGTGTACCCAATAATAGTTAATGTACTATTATGGGATACACATATATGGGATATACTGCTTACTTTTTAAAAGTATGCAAAGTTTTAATAACCGTTTACCTTACAATAAAGAGCAGAACTAGGACAAAAACATTGGTATGTGGGAGTTCCAGGACAACTTCACATTTTTGAATTAACTTTTTGGAGATTTTTCAATAGCAGCTCAAAACATATAGCTATGTTTTCAAAAAAAAAAAAAAAATTCCTAACACATGGAAAAGAGAGAAAATAAATCATGTATCCATGCCCAATCTCTCCAGCTTGCTATCTGTATGCTCTAAAAACAAAGACATTGAAGAGAAAAAGATTAAGATTACAATATCACCAAGGAAATATAAAAAACTTTGAGCTAAGCCTTGCTATCCCAGTTTCTAGTATGGGCCTGTTATTATAAGTACTAGACAGAATGGCAAGATAAACAGGTGAATTTATAGTTATATCAAGAGGAAAGTAAAATGATGATCTACTATACTATGGAAAAGCAAGAAAGCTAACATGTGAATTGCATTGCAATGGGAACCTATGGGAAGGGAATGACTAAGATTAGAATAAGGAGAAAGGGGACAATTATATCGAGATAATGGAAGGGAATGCATACTAGAAGAGAATCCATAAATGAAGGGATAAATGTACTGTTATAAATAACTCAGATTAGGAAGAATAATAAAGCAAGGGATGACCTAAGGGATGGCTGTTTTAAGTCAGTGATTTAAATCATGGTTTACATAAATACTTCATATATTTCCTAAACAATGTGCAATTGCTAAACCAAAAACATTTGCTACTAGATAACTGTTTTGTTTACACAGCTTCATTGTTACAACCAGTCTTTACATCTGTTTGCCATACTGTGTATGGCGCACGTGTGTGTTGGATGCTTGCCTGGCTTCCTTCCTTCCTTCCTTAATCTACAGAGAATTGTGTTCAAACAGTCCTGTTTAGGGTCTCTTGCATGATGTCACAGATTGTGAAGTTAAGAGGTAAAAAGGAACCGATAAAGTGAACAAATCAATTTTCTTTCCAGTGTTGATCCCTTCCTTCACCTTCACTTGTTTTGGCCTCACAAAAATATAGTAAATTTTCATATTTGAGAAACTAACAAATCGGTGCTTCATTGTTATACAAAAGTTTCCTTTAATTCAATGTATCTGGCAAAAAAAAGCATTCATTCATTCATTCATTCATTCATTCAATTTAGATATTTAACTTTAATACTTATTTATTTAGATTTATAGCTAACTTTTTTCTTTTTAAAAATATTCAAAGTGATTTATATCATTCTCCTCCTGCTGCTCTCAATCTTATCCCCACAACAACAACCCTGTGAGGTAGGTTGGGCCAAGAATCAGTGATTGGCCCAAAGTCACCTAGTTGGCTCCATGGCTGATTTGCGTTTAGGTTATGTAACTATACCCTATTTATTAAAGATGAACTTCATATTTACATTGACATTTTGAAATTAACGATTTACATTTTAAAATATTGTTTACATTTTTGAATGCAAGTTTTTGATAATAGTTTTTAATTATTTTTATCCACCCAGAACTAGGTCCTGGAAATTCTGAATAATTTTATTTGCACTTGTTCTATCTGTCTCACTTCTCCCCATAGGGTTACATATTTAAAAGACATATAACAACCAAGGATGTTTAAATAAAACAATAAATAATATAACCAGCAAAATAATACAACAAGCTCAACAACTGACAGTGATGAAGATTGATACAATGATAATATAAAAACTATTAGAACAACTAGTATCTATTAAATGACTGGAAAATAAAAATTGTAATAGTCAAGAAGGAATAAGGGTCATATCAGCCATGATGACGGATATTCCTTATTATGTAAAACAACAACAACACTTTCAGCTTTGTTTAAAATTTTCCTATTTCCATCTAGATCTGGTAATAGATAACTTTTGATTCCACAACTTTTCACATTCCAAGCTGATTCCTGTGATTAAAATCAAAGTCAGCTAGCTCATAAAAAGCATGTTAGGTGGCGCAGTGGTTTAAACTGCTGTGCTGCTGGGCTGGTTGATCGAAAGGTCGCTGGTTCGAATCGGCGCAATGGAGTGAGTTCCCGTTGCTCTGTCCCAGCTCCTGCCAACCTTGCAGTTCGAGAGCATGCAAATGCAAGTACATAAAAAGGTACCACTTTGGTGGGCAGGTAATAGCATTCTGTGCACTTTGGTGTTTAGTCATGCCGGCCACATGACCATGGAGACTGTCTGCGGACAAACGCTGGCTCCCTTGGCTAGGAAACGGAGATGAGCACCATCCCCTAGAGTCAGGAATGACTGGACGTAATGTCAAGGGGAAACCTTTACCTATTATGTGAAAACAAAAAAACTGTTCCCCATTTTGCTGCTGTTTTCCAGTTCCTGCTTGCTGGAGTAGGTGCCACTAGCATTAAATCACTTGATAATGGACAATAGATCCATCCATTATCTAACATCAGTGATTCCCAAACTAGGGTATGCATATCCCCAGGTATATGAACCAGAACATTTAGGGGCATGCAAAAATGAATAATGGCAGAAATAATAGCAACTAGATTAATTACAAACATTTTGCTAATATGAAGGGTACAATGTATGGAAATTGGCTGCCAAAGGGTATACAAGAAGAAAAAAAAGTTGAAAACAGCTGTCTTACACACATAAGGCATAAGAAGGACGAGTACGTCCCACCACTTGCCTATTGGATCCTTGCCCGTCTTGGTTAATAAACAACTCCAAGCATGGGATTGGGACCTGGATCTTGGAAGTGGTTAACGCTTCTCTGAGGGAGGGTCGAGTGCCTGCCCCTTTAAAGGAGGCGGTAATACGACCGGTCCTGAAGAAAGCGTCACTGGATCCAGAGATGGCCACTAACTATAGACCTGTGGCCAACATCCCGTTTCTGGGCAAGGTGTTGGAGCGAGTGGTGGCGGGACAACTCCAAGCACTCTTGGATGAAACTGATTATCTGGATCCTTTTCAGTCCGGCTTCAGACCCGCGTACAGTACTGAATCTGCCTTGGTCGCCCTGTACGATGACCTGTGCAGGGAGAAGGACAGGGGGAGTGCATCCCTGTTGGTTCTTCTGGACCTCTCGGTGGCTTTCGATACCATCGACCATGGTATCCTTCTGGATAGGCTAGCGGGATTGGGGGTTGGAGGCACTGCTTTGCAGTGGTTCCGCTCCTGTCTCAACGGTCGATTCCAGAAGGTAGTGCTGGGGGACTATGTCCCTGCGCCATGGCAGCTATGCCATGGAGTACCACAGGGCTCCATTCTATCCCCTCTGCTATTTAACATCTATATGAAACCGCTGGGAGAGGTCATCAGGAGGTGTGGGCTGCGGAATCATCAATACGCTGATGATACCCAGCTCTACCTCTC